TTGTACATATGTTTTTGGTGTCTTGAGATAATGAGAATTTTATGGTGTGATCGATAAATGATATTATATTCTAACACTAGAAATTTCAACATAAAAGGGTAATAAATAACAGGTCGTTATAAACTTATTTTTGGCAGAGCAAGTTCAAGGGTTTTTTTGGGTACAATAATAACGAAATTCCATGTCAACTGTCCACATTTGAATAGTTTTTTTTTTAACATTTACAATCATTGTTAAACTTACACGAATTTAATTGTTATCAACAAAAACAAATTAATGACTTTCAATGAACGTGGTTTTCAGATGGTATATATAGAAAAATAAGGTCTTGGACTGATCTTATACAAATATAAATATCAGTTATAAACATTTTGGGGGCACGTATTTTTGGCAACACAAGTTCATCAATGTCTTCTAATGAATTCCATTTAAATGGCAGATTTTTAATTCAAGGGCAAGCTTTGAATGACTTATTGCCATTGTAATCCCCTGCCTTTTCTTCATTTTGATCATGGGTTAGGCAAGAAAAGTACATATATCTTAATTTTAAAGTTTATTATATCTATCTATATCTATATCTATACTACTACTAAATGTATCTTAACATGAAAATTTTTTGATTCACTATTTTTCCCTTATAAAAAACTATAAAGGTTAACATGTCTTTTTGTATTTAAATAATTTAAGTATGATAAATATGATATAATATCTAATGTAGCTACATAATTAGACTTTTTTTTTATGTATTTTACCAAATGTTTCAACAAAAATGTTCATGTACAACGCACGTCGTGCATTACTAGTATACATTAAAAGAAGAAAAAGAAAAAAAATATATAAAAATCAGTATTCACTTGCTTACAAGGATTTATTTGTTATTATATACACAAATTAATGACTTTCAATCAAATGAGGTTTTCAAGTGGTATATATAGAAAAACAAGGACTTGCACAAATCATATACACTTCTAAACACCAGTTATAAACATTTTGGCGGCGCGTACATTTTGGCAATGCAAGTTCATCAATGTCTTCTAATGAATTCCATTTAAATGACGGATGTTTAATTCGATGTCAAGCTTTGAATGGCTTATTGCCATTTTAATCCCTTGTATTTTCTTTATTTTGATCAGGTGTTGGGCAAAAGAAGTGCATATTTCTCAATTTTAGAGTTTACTATATATACATTAAAAGAAGTAAAATAAATAGAATTGTATAAAAATCAAGTTACCTATCTAATTAAGTGTACTTTTTCTGGTAACATAATCAAGTTTAAAAATTGTTGAAACAAATGGTAACATGCTATAAAACTTACAACACACCATGTCTAAGATGGGTTTTAGTATAAACCTGCCTGAGGCAGTCCTAATAAACACTCGGACATCACAGATCTCTCTCTATTTGTAGTGACTTGCTTACAGTGATTTATTTGTTATTAACATACACAAATTAATGACTTTCAATCAATGAGGTTTTCAAGTGGTACATATTGAAAAACAAGGTCTTGGGCTGATCATATACACTTATAAATACCAGTTATAAACATCTTGGTGGCGCGTATTTTTGGCAACGCAAGTTCACCAATGTTTTCTAATGAAATTTGTTTAAATTGCAGATTTTTAGTTAGAGGACAAGCTTTGACTGGCTTATTGTCGTTGTAAATCCCTTGTCCTTTTCTTCATTTTGATCATGTGTTGGGCAAGAGAAGTGCATATATCTCAATTTTAGAGTTTACTATATATACATGCAAAGAAGAAAAAGAAATAGAATTCTGTAAAAATCAAGTTACATATCTAATTAAGTATATGTTTTCTGGCAACATAATCAAGTCTAAGAATTGATGACACATATGGTAACATGCTATAAAACTTACAACACACCATGTCTAAGATGGGTTTTAGTATAAACCTGTCTGAGACTGTCCTAATAAGCACTTAGACATAAAGGATCTCCCTGTCTATGAGTAGTCACTCGCTTAAACGGAATTATTTATTATTAACATAGAAGAATTAATGACTTTCAATCAATGAGATTTTTAAGTGGTATATATATATAAAACAAGGTCTTGAATTGATCATATACAGTTATAAATACCAGTTATAAACATTTTGGCAGCACGTATTTTTGACAACGCAAGTTCATCAATGTTTTCTAATGAATTCCATTTAAATTGCAGATTTTTAATTAGAGGGCAAGCTTTGAATTGCTTATTGCCAATGTAAATCCCTTGTCTTTTTCTTCATTTTGATCATGTGTTGTGCAAGAGACGTCCATATATCTCAATTTTAGAGTTTACAATATACATGAAAAAAAGAAAAAGAAATTAATATAATACTACAAACATCAAGTTACCTATCTAAGTATACTTATTCTAGTAACATAATCAAGTCTAAGAATTGATTGCACATATGGTAACATGTTGTAAAACTTCCAACACACCATGTCTAAGATGGGTTTTAGTATAAACCTGCCTGAGGCAATCCTAATAAGCACTCGGACATAAAGGATCTCCCCGTCTATGAGTAGTCATTTGCTTACAAGGATTTATTTGTTATTAACATACACGAATTAATGACATTCAATCAATGAGATTTTCAAGTGGTATATACATAAAACCATGGTCTTGGATTGATCATATACAGTTATAAATACCAGTTATAAACATTTTGGCGGCGCGTATTTTTTACAACGCAAGTTCATCAATTTTTTCTAATGAATTCCATTTAAATTTCAAGTTTTTAATTAGAGGGCAAGCTTTGAATGGCTTATTGCCAATGTAAATCCCTTGTCTTTTTCTTCATTTTGATAATGTGTTGTGGAAGAGATATGCATATATCTCAATTGTAGAGTTTACTCTATATACATGAAAAGAAGATAACGAAATAGAATTCTATAAAAATCAAGTTACCTATCTAAGTATATTTTTTTCTAGTAACATAACCAAGTCTAAAAATTGATGACACATATATTAACATGCTTTAAAACTTACAACACACCATGACTAAGATTGGTTTTAGCAAAATAAATGATTGAATCTGATATTGTATCTCTCTCTGAAGGATAAGATTGTGACAATATGAAATAGTTAAACCCCCATTAATTACATTCCCTAAAAGCTTACTATGCAAATCTGTCGCCCACCTAGATTCAAGTGTATAACAATTTCAAAATCAGTCTTTTCCAAGCCTTTTCAGTCTCAGACTTCATCCATATATAAACCTCCCTGAGGCAATCCTGATAAGCACTTGGACAGTGGAATTCTCTCTCTCCCCCCCCCCATCTCTCTCTTTGTCTGAGTAGTCACTTGCTTTTTTGTTCTCTTCTGTGTTAATTAATTTTTACCCAAAAAATGGCATCTTCTTCGAATGAAAGCTCCCAAAGTTTAACTGGGTTGGAGATACAACCTTATGTTCCTGGTCAAGAATCAAATGAAGAGACGCCTCCTCAGAATGTAAGGCACCTTTTGGTTTATTTTGAAGTTTATTTGCCCATTTCTATCTATGTTCTATACATTTGGTTTTGTACATGAACTTATAAGCTCATGTTTATTTGATTAGGGTATAATCAGATGCTAACTTTCTTTGACATAAATAATTGAAACATAAAACACCTGGATGTTGTTTCTTAGTGAATTATGTTTGTTATGGATTCTGATGTCCTTTTCTCTCTCTCTCTCTCTCTCTCTCTCTCTCTCTTACTGGGATTATTCGAAAGATGCTTTCGAAACATTTTTGAATTCACATAAAATATTATCGGCATTACAGTTAGAATCACCAGAACCAGAAGAAAGGGAAGATGTGCCAAACCAAGGTGCGCGTGTACCAGTTCCAATCTCATTTAGGTTGCCTGAGGATATTACAAATATCTCAGAAACAGACTTGGTACGTTCTAGGGTTTGTAGTTGAATGCCCATCAGAACCCTAATAAGGTGAAATGGATCAATTATTTTGGATTTACTCTCTTTACTAGTTAATGCTTTACTAGCTAATGATTGATAACTTTAGAACATCTCAAAGGGGTCTTTGAGAATAATATATATGATATATGGGCATGACAACCGTAGTTGATACGAAATGATGAACAGGCAACAGGAACAAGAGGTGCACCACGTTCCGTTACTGTATCTATGTTAGGCCCCATGAAATTCGAAATTCCAGAAGATAGCAACAATGACATCTCACAAATGGCTGGGGTAAGTAACTTCATACTCAGTCTCTCCCAAATTGATTTGAGGTTCTGTGATGCTTTTGATTGATTCAAACAGGCTTGGTTTATTTTTCATTGGATATTCCTATAAATGTGTCTCTATGTTTGTGTGTGTGTGTGTGAGAGAGAGGGGGGGAATCAGAAGCCCTAATTCATGGAAGATGGAATACTGCACAAAAGAATTTGTGGTTAATATTTTCTGCATAACATAATTTGCCGCCACACGTATAAGTTTACAAATGGATTCCACATAAAATCATCCTTGGAATATAACAAATTCTATTGAATGAAAAACTATAATTAGCAAAATTCTTATGCCTGTGTCAAGATTGATATCTAAGGTTTTAGTGCCTTTTCTCAAAAGTACTCACAGTCCTTCCAAATGGATGTTTTTTCTGAGCAATCATAACCATTCAAAAATTATTGATTCCCAAAATACCAAACCCAATAATTCAATCAAACTAAAATTAAATCTATTTGTGTTCTCTCTCTATATCTCTCTCCATGTATAACAACATACACATAAACAACCTGGTGGGTTTCTAATAATAAGAGCCAACATTGGATACTAATTTTAGACCAGTTCAATTGTGTTATGATTCTTTAAAACTAGTTTAGTTATTGCAATTTCAAATGTGATCTAAATCTTCTTCCCTTACTACAACCTTTGCCCACTAAGCATTACACACATTTAGTTAAGACAATGGTCTTATCACACAATTTTTCCTCTCAAAAACTATAGTATCTGTATTACATGATGATTGTGAATGAGACAGCCCTCGGAAGCTTCCCCAATGGATACACAAATGACTTCCCAGTTAACGTTATCGGAACGCCAGGAGGGATGGTTGGTAGAGACAAGAAAACGCCTCAATGGAAGGTTTGATAAGGTATTCCTATAACTTGTTAGACATCATTGAATTTGGAAATGATTGTTCAGAGTTTGTGTTTGAATCTAAATCCGAAACTTGAACAAATTTTCAAATTAAACTAAATGCCTTGTTATCATCAATTTAACTAGGTGTTTTTCATTTTGATGATATGAATCTTTGCATATGTATGCTTTTTTTTTTTAATCAGTAAAATTTAGTTTGTTAGTAAAAAATTGGTTATACTAGGTTGTTTAGGACAAGTTCAAGGGCTCCAAGTTATTACTCTCAAGATATATACTAATGATTCAAAACAATGTAGCCCGGAAGAGATGATCTATATTTATACAATTCTGACCAAGGCAACTAGATTCTCCTCACACCTTGATGTTTAGGAAATAACCCTATCAATACTAAGGGGGATTCACTTCATAGCCCATTCTTGTGCACTTCGAGTGAGAAACTTGAAAGTACTTCCATAGAGAATCAAATCATATCCACTTTGGCTTGTAAATCTCCCATCTATGTGCCCTTTTCTCTCAACCTCGTGTCGAGAACTTCTTTCCCCTTTCTCTCTTCCCTCTTTACCAATTTAATATCTATATATCATCATCTAAATTTTTATTTTTATATTTTTGTATAATGATCATAGGTGGAAATCATGCAAAAGTAATTTGTCTTAGAGATAGAATTGTTAGTATTTGATGTGCAATCTCGTTGTGGCCAGACTTTTGCTATTAGTACTTTTTTTTCATAAGGTAACATTTATTGATCAGCATGTACATATATATGAAGTCAATAATTCCACTATATCATATGGTTGCCATTTATAACTTGCTCAAGGATTTTACTTCATCCAACTTCCGCATTTTATTAATTTGTTAAAAGTTATAAAAATTGATGGAAAAAGTTGAGATTTTGATTTTGTTTGTATGAATTTAGATGCAACATGAAATGAGATAACAAATCTTTGACCCAAGAGATTAGGGATGTGAACAACAAAATCCAACTCTTGTGCATGCTAGTGCCAAACTCATAGATATACTAGGCGTTCCAATTGTGTCTCTTTTGTATTATCTTCTTGTCGCAGCATTTCAAGTCTTACCACATAGTTGGGCATCATATTCATATTCATATCAATATTAGTGTCAATAAAAATTTATGTAGTTGCAAAACAATTCATACCATATTAGATCAATATTTAAAAATAAAAAATACCCGTTTTCCTCCAATACTAGCTACTCGAGTTCTTCGTGTTTAACACTCCAGATTGTGCCATTTTTAAATTCTTTGTCATATTGAGTTTATGTCATTTTTGAGGTACTGGGCAATATTGTTATCTCTAAGAAATATTGCATTGTTCTCTTTTTGCTTGCTCGTATAGTAACATATGCTTCTCCACTTTTGCTTTGTTACGAGAATACTTCATCTTTGAGTATTGACGTTAGCTACAAACATATGATATTTTTCAATGCAGTTTTATTACCATGAAAAAACCAAAAAGATGTTTCGATCTTTTGCTGAGGTAGAGAGATTCATTAAAAACGGCCAGTATCCGCAAAGAAAACAACATTCCGAGGACCAAAAACCACAAGATCAAAGCACTTCGGTGAGTTAATTAAGAATTTGACTACAAATATGTTCGACCAATTAAACAAATGATAGTTAGTTTTTCTTCTATTTGATACTAAGAGACATTTTTAACATTGGTTAATTTGCAGGCATTTCTACCATTGGAATATGAGGTCTCACCAAATGTCTCATTGAAAAGGAAGACGGAAACTTTGAGTTTTGATGGCAGTAGTAGAATCCTCAAAGGGAATGACTTTTCTGCATCTTCCTCCTCCTCCAAGCAGCCAATGGAGACCATTGCGAAGCTCTTGGCTGGTGCATACAATAACCTACTAAATTTTTTTAGCGAAAAGAAGGACACCAAAAGCTCAGTACCCGAAATCAATTGCGAAGAACAAGATAACCAAATGATTCAAAATATGATTGAGGAACTTATGGATGAGGGAAATAATTTTCCACTCGTCAATGAAGAACCCATGGCACCACAAGGTACTTGAAAGTCTTTGCTTCTTTCACATAAGATTCAATAGTTTCTATTTTTAACATTAACAAATGCATGAACTTTATTATATATCTGGCTTCTCTTCATTTGATTTCAATGGTTCTCAATGCTTGCAGAAAATAAAGAAGAGGAAGGAATGCCTAAGTGAAGGAAGAGGGAAGAACTGTGAAGGGTTTCATGAGATTTTGAAGTTTCTATCTGAAAACCCTATTAGAGAGAAAGATTAAAATGTGTTTGTGCTTTATTTTTGAAAGTGGATTAAATATTATGTGGTCCTTTTAATGTTTCAACTCCATTTAACTAGAAAAACTATTTCATTAGCTCAAATATTTGTCATCGGACATCGCAATTTTTTTGGTGAGTAAATAAATTTTATTTTTGAGAAATACAAAAATGCTCAAAACGTGCTCACGATTACGTGTGCAAGAAACTTGCATGCATGTATTCTCGCTCTGACACTCACTTTCTCTCTCCCTCATATTTTTTATTTTTAAATGTAAACCCTACATGGATGATGGGAATGACTTGGATTAGTACCATGTTGTTATTGATATGATCATAGGAAGTAAGAAGGGGAAGTGAAAACCTTAATGCAAAAATCAACCAAAATTCATGTATCATGTTAATGGTTTTGCAGTTCAATTTTAAATTTTTTCCTATAGAACGAAAAAATCTCTAAAATTTTCAAATTAGTCTAACAAAACAATACCGTTCGTATGGAAAAGGATGAGAGACGATAAAATATAACAAAATAGTAGGGACAAGAAAAGTTTGTTAACTTGTTACATGCGTTATTTAATCAAACTTAAATGTGTCTAACCACGTACGCCCACTATTGCAAAAAAAAAAAACCTTCCATAATTATTTAGTTAGCCCCTATGAAGTGATTAGTTTTTTCAATAATGGCTTCTAATTTTATGTAGTAATTCTAAACTCTAGTTCATCACTTCAAGCAACGATCCAGTTTCTTGCACAATTGCGCTTCATGTTCTGCCTAGTACAACATGCCCATGAATGTGCTAGGCTTTGGGCACATCACGGCCCACGGGCAAGATGAAGTCCATGATTTTGCTAGGTTCATGCAAGTGTCATACCTATATTGTGCACGTGTCGTGCTCGTGCTCAATCGTTTGTGCGGTTCTTGTGCCTATGATGTGTCATTCTCAAGTCTAAGTCATATCATGTTTATACTTGGTCATGTCTAGGGCAATAAAATAAAAATCTAATAAACCTAAATTCCAAAAATACCCTGTTAGGAGGGGTAATTTTATCAATTAGGGGCAAATAGCAAAATTTGCTAATTTTTAGAAGACATCACAACTTGGTGACTAAAGATATATCTTTTGTAGCAGCATTTTTAGCCACAAAAATCTTGACACTAGAAATGCAATTTTGGTATAGCAAAAAATGTGCTCATTCAAATCCAAGTTTTTAACACTATTCTGCATTCAAATCTGGCCAACAGCCAATGGAATTCTTATCCAAAAGCATGCAAAAATTATTTCTTTTTTTTTCAAATGCCAGCCAAAATGCAAAACCTAACTTTAGGATTATGCTCTCCAATATATTTTCTCATCAATTTACTTCTTAATGAATCACCTATTATGTATTCAAGTGTAACTTATTATATATACGTACATCCTATACTCATTAATGGTGCATAGAGAATCATATCAAATCCACTTTTGGCTTGCGAATCTCACATCCATGTGCCATTTACTCTCAACGCCGTGTCGAGAATTTATCCCTCATTTCTCTCTTCCCTCTTTACCAAAAATATTAATAAATATCATTAGCTAAATTTTTACGTTCATAGTTTTGTGTAATGATCATAGGTGGAAATCATGCAGAAGTAATTTGTCTTAGAGATAGAATTGTTAGTACTTTTTTTTTCAAAGGTAACATTTATTGATCAGCATGTATATATATCATGATGTACAAGAGTGATGTCAGTACTTCCACTATGGTATAAAAAAAACCCTTCCAAAATTAATGAGTTAGCCCTGATAAAGTGATTCATTTTTTCAATAATAGCCCCTAATTTTATGTAGTAATTCTAAATTTTAATTCATCACTTCTCGCGATGATTCAATTTCTTGTGGCCTAATTGTGCTTCATGTGGTGTCTGGGATAACATGCCCATGAATGTGCTAGGCCTTGGGCAAGATGAAGTCCATGCTTTTGCCTGGTGCATGCAAGTGTCATACCTAAACCATGCTCGTGTTTGTTTTGTGCAATTCTTGTGCCTATGATGTGTCATTCTCGTGCCTAAGTCATGTCGTGTTTATACTGAGCCGTGGTATATATAGAAAAATAAAATATCAGTTATAAACATTTTGGCAGCTCGTATTTTTGGCAACACAAGTTCATCAATGTCTTCTAATGAATTCCATTTAAATGACAGATATTTAAATTGAGGGCAAGCTTTGAATAGCCACTGCCATTGTAATCCCTTGCTTTTTCTTCATTTTGATCAGGTGTTAGGCAAGGAAAGTACATATATCTCAATTTTAAAGTTTATTATATCTATCTATATCTATGTCTATACTACTAATAAATGTACCTTAACATGAAAATTTTAAATTCACTATTTTGCCCTTATAAAAAATTATAAAGGTTAACATGCCTTTTAGTATTTAAATAATTTAAGTATGATAACTATGATATAATATNGCAGCATTTTTAGCCACAAAAATCTTGACACTAGAAATGCAATTTTGGTATAGCAAAAAATGTGCTCATTCAAATCCAAGTTTTTAACACTATTCTGCATTCAAATCTGGCCAACAGCCAATGGAATTCTTATCCAAAAGCATGCAAAAATTATTTCTTTTTTTTTCAAATGCCAGCCAAAATGCAAAACCTAACTTTAGGATTATGCTCTCCAATATATTTTCTCATCAATTTACTTCTTAATGAATCACCTATTATGTATTCAAGTGTAACTTATTATATATACGTACATCCTATACTCATTAATGGTGCATAGAGAATCATATCAAATCCACTTTTGGCTTGCGAATCTCACATCCATGTGCCATTTACTCTCAACGCCGTGTCGAGAATTTATCCCTCATTTCTCTCTTCCCTCTTTACCAAAAATATTAATAAATATCATTAGCTAAATTTTTACGTTCATAGTTTTGTGTAATGATCATAGGTGGAAATCATGCAGAAGTAATTTGTCTTAGAGATAGAATTGTTAGTACTTTTTTTTTCAAAGGTAACATTTATTGATCAGCATGTATATATATCATGATGTACAAGAGTGATGTCAGTACTTCCACTATGGTATAAAAAAAACCCTTCCAAAATTAATGAGTTAGCCCTGATAAAGTGATTCATTTTTTCAATAATAGCCCCTAATTTTATGTAGTAATTCTAAATTTTAATTCATCACTTCTCGCGATGATTCAATTTCTTGTGGCCTAATTGTGCTTCATGTGGTGTCTGGGATAACATGCCCATGAATGTGCTAGGCCTTGGGCAAGATGAAGTCCATGCTTTTGCCTGGTGCATGCAAGTGTCATACCTAAACCATGCTCGTGTTTGTTTTGTGCAATTCTTGTGCCTATGATGTGTCATTCTCGTGCCTAAGTCATGTCGTGTTTATACTGAGCCGTGGTATATATAGAAAAATAAAATATCAGTTATAAACATTTTGGCAGCTCGTATTTTTGGCAACACAAGTTCATCAATGTCTTCTAATGAATTCCATTTAAATGACAGATATTTAAATTGAGGGCAAGCTTTGAATAGCCACTGCCATTGTAATCCCTTGCTTTTTCTTCATTTTGATCAGGTGTTAGGCAAGGAAAGTACATATATCTCAATTTTAAAGTTTATTATATCTATCTATATCTATGTCTATACTACTAATAAATGTACCTTAACATGAAAATTTTAAATTCACTATTTTGCCCTTATAAAAAATTATAAAGGTTAACATGCCTTTTAGTATTTAAATAATTTAAGTATGATAACTATGATATAATATCTAATGTAGCTACATAATTAGACTTTTTTATGTATTTTACCTAATGTTTCAACAAAAACTTTCACGTGCAACGCACGTCATGAATTGCTAGTATACATTAAAAGAAGAAAAAGAAATAGAATATATAAAAATCAAGTTACCTATCTAATTAAGTATACTTTTTATGGTAACATAATCAAGTGTAAGAATTGATGACACATATGGTAACATGCTATAAAACTTACAACACATCGTGTCTAAGATGGGTTTTAGTATAAATTGGCCTGACACAGTCTTAATAAGCACTTGGATAGCACAGATTTCTCTCTCTCTCTCTATGAGTATTCACTTGCTTACAAGGATTTATTTGTTATTAACATACACAAATTAATGACTTTCAATCAATGAGGTTTTCAAGTGGTATATATAGAAAAACAAGGACTTGCACAGATCATATACACTTATAAATACCGGTTATAAACATTTTGGCGGCGCGTGTTTTTGGCAATGCAAGTTCATCAATGTCTTCTAATGAATTCCATTTAAATGATGGATGTTTAATTCGATGGCAAGCTTTGAATGACTTATTGCCATTGTAATCACTTGTATTTTCTTTATTTTGATCAGGTGTTGGGCAAAAGAAGTGCATATTTCTCAATTTTAGAGTTCACTATATATACATTAAAAGAAGAAAAATAAATATAATTGTATAAAAATCAAGTTACCTATCTAATTAAGTGTACTTTTTTTTGGTAACATAATCATGTTTAAAAATTGATGACACATATTGTAACATGCTGTAAAACTTACAACACCCCATGTCTAAGATGGGTTTTAGTATAAACCTGCCTGAGGCAGTCCTAATAACTACTCGGACAGCACAGATCTCTCTCTGTTTGTGGTCACTTGCTTACAGTGATTTATTTATTATTAACATACACGAATTAATGACTTTCAATCAATGAGGTTTTCAAGTGGTATATATAGAAAAACAAGGTCTTGGGCTGATCATATACACTTAAAAATACCGGTTATAAACATTTTGGCGGCGCGTATTTTGGGCTACGCAAGTTTATCAATGCTTTCTAATGAATTCCATTTAAATTGTAGATTTTTAATTAGAGGAAAAGCTTTGAATGGCTTATTGCCATTGTAAATCCCTTCTCTTTTTGTTCATTTCAAACATGTGTTGGGCAAGAGAAGATATTTAGAGTTTACTATACATACATGAAAAGAAGAAAAAGAAATAGAATTTTGTAAAAATCAAGTTACATATCTAATTAAGTATACTTCTTCGGGGAACATAATCAAGTCTAAGAATTGATGACACATATGGTAACATGTTGTAAAACTTACAACACACACCATGTCTAAGATGGGTTTTAATAAAACCTACCTGAGGCAGTCCTAATAAACACTCGGACATAAAGGATCTCCCTATCTATGAGTAGTCACTTACTTACAAGAATTTATTTGTTATTAAAATACAACAATTAATGACTTTCAATCAATGAGATTTTCAAGTGGTATACATATAAAACAAGGTTTTGGATTGATCCTATACAGTTATAAACATTTTGGCGGCGCATATTTTTGACAACGCAAGCTCATCAATGTTTTCTAATGAATTCCATTTAAATTGCAGATTTTTAATTAGAGGACAAGCTTTGAATGGCTTATTGCCAATGTAAATCCCTTGTTTTTTTCTTCATTCTGATCATGTGTTGTGCAAGAGACTTGCATATATCTCAATTTTAGACTTTACTATATATACATTAAAAGAAGAAAAATATATAGAATTCTGTCAAAATCAAGTTACCTATCTAAGTATACTTTTTTTAGTAACATAATCAAGTCTAAGAATTGATGACACGTATGGAAACATGCTTTAAAACTTACAACACACCATGTCTAAGATTGGTTTTAGCAGAATAAATGATAGAATCTGACTTTATATCTCTCTGGAGGATAAGATTATGACAATATGAAATAGTTAAACCCCCATTAATTACCTCCCCTAATAGCTTATTGTGCAAATCTGTCGCCCACCTAGATTCAAGTGTATAATAGTTTCGAAATCAGTCTTTTTCAACCCATTCCAGTCTCAGCATCCATCAATATATAAACCTGCCTAAGGCAATCCTGATAAGCACTTGGATAGTGGAACTCTCTCTCTCTCTCTCTCTCTTTGGGTAGTCACTTGCTTTTTGGTTCTCTTCTGTGTTAATTTATTTATACCCAAGAAATGGCATCTTCTTCGAATGAAAGCTCCCAAAGTTTAGGTGGGTTGGAGATACAACCCTATGTTCCTGGTCAGAAATCAAATGAAGAGGCGCCTCCTTAGAATGTAAGTTACCTTCTAGTTTATTTTGAAGTTGCTTTGCCCATTTTTCTCTTTGTTCTATCTATTAGGTTTTGTACATGAACTTATAAACTCATGTTTATTTGATTAGGGTATAATCAGATAATGACTTTCCTTGACATAAATAATTGAAACATAAAACAACTAGATGTTGTTTCTTAGTGAATTGTATCTGTTGTGGATTATGATGTCCTTCTCTCTCTCTTTCTTATTGGGATTATTCAAAAGATGCTTTGGAAACATTTTTGAATTCACATAAAATGTTATCGGCATTGCAGTTAGAATCCCCAAAACTAGAAGAAAGGGAAAACGTGCCAAACCAAGGTGCACTTGTATCGGTTTCAATCTCATTTAGGTTGCCTGAGGATATTACAAACGTCTCAGAAACAGACTCAGTACATTCTATGGTTTATAGTTGAATGCTCATCAGAACCCTAATCAGGTGAAATAGATCAATTGCTTTGGATTTTACTCTCTTTACTGGTTAATGATTGACAACTTTAGAACATCTCAATGGGGTCTTTGAGACTATTGTATATGATATGTGAGCATGATAACCGAAGTTGATACGAAATGATGAACAGGCAACAAGAATGAGAGGTGCTCCACTTTCCATAACTGTGTCTATGTCAAGCCCCATGAAATTCAAAATTCCAGAAGATAGTGTCAGTGACATCTCACAGATGGCTGGGGTAAGTAACTTCATCCTTATCGGTCTCTCCCAAATTGATTTGAGGTTTTGTGATGCTTTTGATTAATTCGAACAGGCTTGGTTTATTTTCCGTTGGATATTCTGATAAATGTGTGTCCGTGTTTGTGTTTGTGTTTGTGTTTTTGTTTTTGTGTATGTGTGTGTGCGCGTGCGTGTGTGTATGTGTGTGAGAGAGAGAGAGAGGGGGGGAATCAGAAGCCCTTATTCATGGTAGATGGAAAATTTAGTATTGTGACACAGAGGGTAAATGGAATACTGCACAAAAGAATTTGTGATTTATCGAAAATATTTTCTGCATAACGTAATTTGCCGCCACTCATAAAAGTTTACAAAACGGATTCCACATAAAATCATCCTTGGAATATAAAAACATCTATTGAATGAAAAACTATAATTAGCAAAATTCTTGTGCCTGTCAAGATTGACATCTTAGGGTTTAGTGCCTTTGCTCAAAAGTACTCACAAATGGATTTTTTTTCTGAGCAGTCACAAGCTTTGAAAAATTAATGTTTCCAAAAATACCAAACCTAATAATTCAACCAAACTAAAACAAAATCTCTCTGATGTTACATTTTCATAGCAACAAAAGCTCTCTCTATATATATCTCTCATTGTACACCAAAATACACATAAAAAACTTGGCGGGTTTCTAATAATAAGAGCCAACATTAGATACTAATTTTGGACCAATTCGATTGTGTTTAGATTCTTTAAAACTAGTTTAGTTATTGCAATTTCAAATGTGATCTAAAATTTCTTCCCACACTGCAACCTTTACCTGCTAAGCGTTACACATGTTTAGTTAAGACAATTGTTTTATCACGTAATTTTTCCTCTTGAAAATTAAAATATTTGTATTACATGATGATTGTGAATGAGACAGCCCTCAGAAGCTTCCCCAATGGATAGACAGACGACTTCCCAGTTAACGTTATCAGAACGCCGGGAGGGATGGTTGATAGAGACAAGAAAACGCCTCAATGGAAGGTTTGATAAGGTATTCCTATAACTTGTTAGACATCATTGAATTTGGAAATGACTGTTCGGAGTTTGTGTTTGAATCTAAATCCAAAACTTGAACAAATTTTTGAATTAAACTAAATGCCTTGTTATCATCAATTTAACTAGGTGCTTTCATTTTGATGATATGAATCTTTGCATATGTATGCTTTTTTTTTTAATCAGTAAAATTTGGTTTGTTAGTAAAAAATTGGTTATACAAGGTTGTTTAGGACAAGTTCAAGGGCTCCAAGGTATTACTCTCAAGATATATACTAATGATTCAAAACAATGTAGCCCGGAAGAGATGATCTATATCTATACAATTCTGACCAAGGCAACTAGATTCTCCTCACACCTCAATGTTTAAGAAATAACCCTATCAATACTAAGGTGGATTCACTTTATAGCCCATTCTTGTGCATTTCAAGTGAGAGACTTGAAAGTACTTCCATAGAGAATCAAATCATATCCACTTTGGCTTGCAAATCTCTGATCTGTGTGCCTTTTTCTCTCAACCTTGTGTTGAGAACTTATTTCCCCTTTCTTTCTTCCCTCTTTACCAACAATATTAATAACTATATATCATCAGCTAAATTTTTACTTTCATAGTTTTGTGTAATGATCGTTGGTGGAAATCATACAAAATTAATTTGTCTTAGAGATAGAATTGTTAGTATTTGATGTTCAATCTTGTTGTGGCCGAACTTTTGGTGTTAGTACTTTTTTTTTTCATAAGGTAACAGTTATTGATCAGCATGTATATATATATATATGATGTCAATACTTCCACTATATCATATGGTTGTCATTTATAACTTGCTCAAGGATTTTACTTCATCCAACTTCCACATTTTATTTGTTAAAAGTTAAAAAACATTATTGGAAATAGTTGACATTGTGATTTTTTTTGTATGAATTTAGATGCAACGTGAAATGAGAGAACAAATCTTTGTCCCAAGAGATGAGGGATGTGAGCAACAAAATCCCATGCTTGTGCATGCCAGTGCCAAACTCATATAGATATACTAGGGATGTCAATCGAGTCTCTTTCGTGTTGCAGCATTTTGAGTCTTACCATGTAGTTGGGCGTCGTATTCATATTAATATTTACAAATTTATGTAGTTGCAAAACAGTTCATACCATATTAGATCAATATTTAAAAATAAAAAAAATACTCTATTCTTTTTCCAATATTAGCTACTTGAGTTCTTCGTGTTTAACACTCCAGATCGTGCCATTTTTGAATTCTTTGTCATGTTGAGTTTATGTCATTTTTGTGGTATTGGGCAATACTGTTATCTATAAGAAATATTGCATTGAACTCTTTTTGCTTGCTCATACATTAACATATGCTTCTCCAATTTTGCTTTGTTACGAGAATGCTTCATCTTTGAGTATTGATGTTAGCTACAAACATATGATATTTTTCAACTACGCATACTTTTATTACCATGAAAAATCCAACAANCTGTTCGGAGTTTGTGTTTGAATCTAAATCCAAAACTTGAACAAATTTTTGAATTAAACTAAATGCCTTGTTATCATCAATTTAACTAGGTGCTTTCATTTTGATGATATGAATCTTTGCATATGTATGCTTTTTTTTTTAATCAGTAAAATTTGGTTTGTTAGTAAAAAATTGGTTATACAAGGTTGTTTAGGACAAGTTCAAGGGCTCCAAGGTATTACTCTCAAGATATATACTAATGATTCAAAACAATGTAGCCCGGAAGAGATGATCTATATCTATACAATTCTGACCAAGGCAACTAGATTCTCCTCACACCTCAATGTTTAAGAAATAACCCTATCAATACTAAGGTGGATTCACTTTATAGCCCATTCTTGTGCATTTCAAGTGAGAGACTTGAAAGTACTTCCATAGAGAATCAAATCATATCCACTTTGGCTTGCAAATCTCTGATCTGTGTGCCTTTTTCTCTCAACCTTGTGTTGAGAACTTATTTCCCCTTTCTTTCTTCCCTCTTTACCAACAATATTAATAACTATATATCATCAGCTAAATTTTTACTTTCATAGTTTTGTGTAATGATCGTTGGTGGAAATCATACAAAATTAATTTGTCTTAGAGATAGAATTGTTAGTATTTGATGTTCAATCTTGTTGTGGCCGAACTTTTGGTGTTAGTACTTTTTTTTTTCATAAGGTAACAGTTATTGATCAGCATGTATATATATATATATGATGTCAATACTTCCACTATATCATATGGTTGTCATTTATAACTTGCTCAAGGATTTTACTTCATCCAACTTCCACATTTTATTTGTTAAAAGTTAAAAAACATTATTGGAAATAGTTGACATTGTGATTTTTTTTGTATGAATTTAGATGCAACGTGAAATGAGAGAACAAATCTTTGTCCCAAGAGATGAGGGATGTGAGCAACAAAATCCCATGCTTGTGCATGCCAGTGCCAAACTCATATAGATATACTAGGGATGTCAATCGAGTCTCTTTCGTGTTGCAGCATTTTGAGTCTTACCATGTAGTTGGGCGTCGTATTCATATTAATATTTACAAATTTATGTAGTTGCAAAACAGTTCATACCATATTAGATCAATATTTAAAAATAAAAAAAATACTCTATTCTTTTTCCAATATTAGCTACTTGAGTTCTTCGTGTTTAACACTCCAGATCGTGCCATTTTTGAATTCTTTGTCATGTTGAGTTTATGTCATTTTTGTGGTATTGGGCAATACTGTTATCTATAAGAAATATTGCATTGAACTCTTTTTGCTTGCTCATACATTAACATATGCTTCTCCAATTTTGCTTTGTTACGAGAATGCTTCATCTTTGAGTATTGATGTTAGCTACAAACATATGATATTTTTCAACTACGCATACTTTTATTACCATGAAAAATCCAACAAGATATTTCGAACTTTTGCCGAAGTAGAGAGGTTCATTAACAACGGTCAGTATCCTCAAAGAAAACAACATTCAGAGGACCAAAAACCGCAAGATCAAAGCACTTCGGTGAGTTAATTAAGAATTTGATTATAGATACATTCGACTAATTAAACAAATGATAGTTAGCTTTTCTTTTCTTTGATACTAAGATACAATTTGAACTTGGTTAATTTGTAGGCATTTTAGCCACTGGGATCTGAGGTCTCACTAAATGTCTCATTGAAAAGAAAGACAGAAACATCGAGTTTTGATGGTTGTAGTACAATCCTCAAAGGGAATAACTTTTCTGCATCTTCCTCCTCCTCCAAGCAACCCATGAAGACCATTGCGGAGCTCTTGGCTTGTGCATACGATAACCTACTAAATTTTTTTAGTGCAAAGAAGGACACCAAAAGCTCAATTCCTGAAATAATTTGTGAAGAACAAGATGACCAAATAATTCAAAATATGATCGAGGAACTTCTGGATGAGGGAAATAATTTTTCCCTCATCGATGAGGAACCCATGGCACCACAAGGTACTTGAAAGTCTTTGCTTCTTTTACATAACATTCAATATTTTCTATTTTTAACATTAACAAATGCATGAACTTTATTATATATCTAGCTTCTCTTCCTTTAATTTCAATGGTTCTCAATGCATTGCAGAAAATAAAGAAGAGGATGCCCAAGTGAAGGAAGAGGGAAAAGTTGTGAAGGGCTTCATGAGATCATTTTGAAGTTTCTATATGAAAACTCTATAAGGGAGAAAGATTGAAATATGTTTGTTCTTTATTTTGGAAAGAGGATTAAAATGTTATGTGATCCTTTTAATATTTCAACTCCATTTAACTGGAAAAATTATTTCATTAGCTCAAATATTTGTTATAGGACGTCACAATTTTTTTGGTAAGTAAATTTTATTTTTGAGAAATACAAAAACGCTCAAAACATGCTTACGATTATGTGCAAGAAATTAGCATGCATGTCTCTCTTGCTCTGGCATGCACTCTATCTCTTTCTCTCTCTCGCTCATATTTTTCATTTTTAAATGTAAACCCTACATGGATTGTGCGGATGACTTGGACTAGTCCCATGTTTTTATTGATATGGTCATAGGAAGTAAGAAGGGGAAGTGAAAACCTTAATGGGAAAATCAACCAAAATTCATGTATCATGTTAATGGTTTGGCAGTTCAATTTTAAATTTTTTTCCTATAGAACGAAAAAATCTCTAAAATTTTCAAGTTTGTATAGAAAAAGATGAGAGATGACATGCGTTATTTAATCAAACTTAAATGTGTCTAACCACGTACACCCACTATTGTTTAAAAAAAAACCTTCCAAAATTATTGAGTTAGCCCCTATAAAATGATTAATTTTTTCAATAATGGCTCCTGATTCTAAACTCTAGTTCATCACTTCTCGCGATGATTTGGTTTCTTGCCCAATTGTGCTTCATGTTCTACCTGGTACAACATGCCCATGAATGTGCTTAGCCTTTGGCACATCACGGACCACGAGCAAGAGGAAATCCATGCTTTTGCCTGGTTTGTGCATGTGTCGTACCTATATCGTGCACGTGTCATGCTCATGCTCGATCATGTATGTTTTGTGCAGTTCTTGCGCCTATGATGTGTACATAGAAATCTAATAAACCTAAATTCCAAAAATACCCTGTTAGGAGGGGTAATTTTTTCAATTAGGGGCAAATAGCAAAATTTGCTAATTTTCAAAAGACATCACAACTTGGTGACTAAAGATATATCTTTTGTAGCAGCATTTTTAGCCACAAAAATCTTGACACTAAAAATGCAATTTTGGTATAGCAAAAATTGTGCTCATACAAATCCAAATTTTTAACACTGTTCTGCATTCAAGTCTGGCCAACAGCAAATGGAATTCTTATCTAAAAGCCTGCAAAAATTATTTCTTTTTTTGCAAATGCCAGCCAAAATGCAAAACCTAACTTTAGGATTATGCTCTCCAATATATTTTCTCGTCACTTTATTTCTTAATGGATCACCTATTATGCATTCAAGTATAACTTATTATATAAACGTCTGTCCTATACTCATTAATGGTGCATAGAGAATCAAATCATATCCACTTTTGGCTTGCGAATCTCACATGCATGTGCCATTTACTCTCAACCCCGTGACGAGAATTTATCCCCTCTTTCTCTCTTCCCTCTTTACCAAAACTAGTAATAACTATCATCAGCTAAATTTTTACTTTCATAGTTTTGTGTAATGATCATAGGTGGAAATCATGCAGAAGTAATTTGTCCTAGAGGTAGAATTGTTAGTACTTTTTTTTCCTAAAGGTAACATTTATTGATCAACATGTATACATATCATAATCTACAACAGTGAAGTCAATACTTCCACTATTCCAAAATTATTGAGTTAGCCTCGATAAAGTGATTCATGTTTTCAATAATGGCCCCTAATTTTATGTGGTAATTCTAAACTCTAATTCATCACTTCTCGTGATGATTCAATTTCTTGTAGCCTAATTGTGCTTCAAGTCATGCTTGGTACAACATGCTCATGAATGTGCTAGGCCTTGGGCAAGATGCAGCCCATGCTTTTGCCAGTTTCATGCAAGTGTCATACCTAAACCGTGCTCGTGCTCGTGCTCGTGCTCGTGTCTATTTTGTGTAGTTCTTGTGCCTATAGGATGTGTCATTCTCATGCTTAAGTCATGTCGCATTTTTACTAGGACGTGCAAAGAGAAATTTAATAAACCTAAATTCTAGAAATACCACGTTAGGAGGATTAATTTTTTCAATTTGGGGCAAATAGCAAAATTTGCCAATTTTTAGAAGACATCACAACTTTGTGATTAAAGATATACCTTTTGTAGCAACAGTTTTTGCCACAATCAAAATCCCTACGCTAGAAATACAATTTTTGTATCTAAGGTATGACCAAAAGCCTCACTGAAAAGAAAGACAAAAATTTCGAGTTTGGATGGCGGGGGTAGTAGAATCCTCAAAAGGAATGAATTTTCAGCATGGTTCTCCTCCTCCCAGCAACCAATGGAGACCATTGAGGAGCTCTTGGCCGATGCATACGATAATCTATTAATTTTTTTTAGTGAAAAGAAGGGCAACAAAAGCTCAGTACCCAAAATAATGTGCGAAGAACAAGATGACCAAATGATTCAAAATATGATCGAGGAACTTCTGGACGAGGAAAATAATTTTTCCCTCGTCAATAAGGAACCCACGACATTACAAGGTACACTTGAAAGTTCTTTCAAATAAGATTCAGTTGTGATTCGTGTGTACGATGAACAATAAAATATAATAGAAGAAGAACACAAGAATTTATGTGTGTGGTACAAAATGCCATGAATGTGTAGGGCAAGATACAGTCCATGCTTTTGCCTGGTTCATGCAAGTTTCGTACCTAAACCGTGCTCGTGCTCAAGGGCTTTTGTCTGGTTCATGCAAGTTTCGTACTTAAATTGTGCTCACGCTTAGGGGTTTTTTGCCTAGTTCGTGCAAGTTTCGTACCTAAACCATGCTCGTGCCTGCTTTGTGCAGTTCTCATGCCTGTGATTTGTCATTCTATTGCCTAATAAGAGTATCTCCAATAGACTCTCCATTCTCACTCAATTCTCTATTATAGAGAGTCAACCTTTAAAATTTATTCTCTAATTAACTCTCTATATTTGGAGATTCAAACTCACTCTTTACTCTATTTTTTTGGAACAGAAAAATGATGTATTTGTATTTCATCCAAGAAATTTAGAATAAATGTATCTCAATTAAAATAATGGAGGAAAAATAGGAGGCAAGTCAAATTTTTGTCAAAAAGGACAAAAAGTAAAATGATAAAATAATAAAAAATATATATTTTGTAGCAACATTTTTAGCCACAATCAAAATCGTGACACTAGAAATCCAATTTAGGTAAATATATTTAGCCAACAGCAAACGGAGTTCCCATCTAAAAGGCTGCAAAAATTAAAGAAAATATTATTTAGACTTAAAAAACTGATTTAATTTTCTGACTTGATTAATCGCAACCATTAAATAGGTAGTAGATTCCAATATACAAGAATCCATAGTTAAATTAATGACAGTAATTGATCAAGTCAGCAAATCAAGTCAATATTTTAAGTCTACATAACATTGCTCAAAACTTAATTCTTTTTCTCAAATGCTAGCCAAAATGCAAAACCTTACTCCAAGATTATGCTCTCCAATATATTTTCTTTTCAATTTATTTTTTTATGGATCACCTACTATACATTCAAGTGTAACTCATTGTATATAAGTATATATGATACTCATTAATGGCAAATGACCTATCAAGCAATAAAGTTAAGCGAAAATATGTCGAATGAGATTTTACTCTTTCTTTCCTTTTGTATTTTGTATTTTTCATTTTCTTTCGTGTAGGGTTTAACGTAGACACAGAGTGGGATATTGTGCCCAATGTTACGAGTAAATATTAGGTATAACAGCGACACTACGTCATTAATATCACGTGATATCACCAACTAATTATAAAACAACTAAAAATATTGATGAATCCCACAATTCCAACATGACAGATATTAGATAAGGAGGTTATTGGTCATTATTAAAACAGTATACCCACATAGTCCACTTAGTATTCTATCAATGGTTTGGTGATACCACGTGACATTGATGACGTGATATCATTGTTACACCCAATATTTTCTTGTTACAAGTAACTATTAGGTGTTACGGTGGAGAAAAAATTCATTACAATAGTGATACTATGTCACCACCATCGCATGACGTCACAATTCAATTAGAAGATAACAAATAGATAAAATGGATCCCACTAATTCTGTGTTGTTGATTGGATGTGGTGGTTACTAGTAGTTATGAAAATGAGATTCACTTTACCTATTTGTAGTTTTCTACACCACGTGACAGTGATGACTTAGTGTTACCATTGGATTGAATATTCACTCATAATGGCGGTGTTACTAATGCATTAACAATTGCAAAATTGCCCCCCTCCCCTCCCCCAACCCAACCCCACACGCAGAACTATCTAATTAATAACAAACCATACATTTCATTCTCCCCATTTTTCTTTGACTTAATCCATAGCAATGTCGAGAGCCTCAAATCTGATACCAAGCAAATAAGGCTAACTTAATGAGCACAAATTCTTTCCACCAAATAACATAAAATTGAGCAGAGTTTACAGGTGTTTAGTAGGAAAAAGCAAAGCTATATAAATGAGTCGTACATGAATTAAGCAAATATTGACACAACACCTGACCCATTAAAATCCCCATGTATTATTATTTTTCGAAGCTTTAGCAGGGAATATGTCCCTGAATAAACACTACCATTCAACTCTAACCCAACTCTGTTTTTGCTTATCTTACCGCTCATTCCCCTCAACTTGGTAGTTTCTAACAATTATTTTATGACCCACTCTTGCTTGCCACTAGCAACTTGTGTACAAGCCTGTACGTTCACTACAGGTCATTAGCAAACGGACTATTATGAATCGTTTCTTGCCAAGTCTAATGGATGACAAAAACCAGAAACAAACAATGCAACAAGAATCGCTACAGCTCCAATAATTCATTGTTCACTCAACCTCATAAGTCATACCTCCACCATATGACTGACAGTTCCCAAAATACTGAATTTCAAATTAGCATATAAATTCTAGTAAAGACAATACTAAAATGCCAGCATGCTGCTTAGATGCATTATGGTTCAGCTGATTCGGAAGTACTTACGAGAGTCCAAGTAGCTGTTGATAGTGGCAAATCGAAAACTTGGTGCTAATGCACACTCCCCATTGCCCAACTCCTCAAAATGTATCAACTTACCAGAAATTTCAACTCAGAGAATCAAAGAAAGAAGGCGCCATAACCTTTGATGTCATTCACCAAGAACAGAACTCTCAGGGCATCCAAAGCAGATGCAAAGCTATCTGGACTGGACAGCCCTTATAGTGTATTTATATAGACACAGCAAATGATCAAACAAAGAGAAGAGTTTCGTAGCATTTAAACTTTAAAGGGATAGTAGCAGAGCAAATGAGCCAAAATAAAATCCAACCCAATGGAACATATTGCAGACCTTACCGGCCATTAGGCTCGGCAAACCTTGGTCAGCATCCCATCTGCTCAAGAAAAGAAGTGAGACGTGAGTGCTTTGCATCCCTTTGCTCGGCTAATTTCTGCTCCTTGGCTTCGGCATCACCCCCTCAATCCCGCCAACTGCTCCCCGCATTCAGCTCCAATCCTGTCCAATGTAGCCTTCTGCTCTTCTCTAAGAGCTTTCACATTTGCCTCTACCTCCTCCATTTTCTCACTCCTCCTGCATGCCTTCTCCGACTCCAGTTGCAGTTCCACCCTTGGTTAACGAGGGTCAAACTGGATAAAGATTCGTCTCATGTAAAAGTTGATGTTTTATATTGATGTATACAAGTATCCTAGAGTGACAAAATCAGCCAAGACTGACATAATCACCATATACCAGAAATGCTATAGGGGAAAAACCAAATTATATGGATGCAGGTTCAATGTGGTTGATTTTTATGTGATCGAGCATACACCTTTAACAAAGCAAAATGAAAAAAAGGATTCATGTATCATCCCCCACAAATCAAGACAAGGCTTTGGTGTTTAGTTTGGTATTATATTTACCAGAGAGGGGCAAACAGATTGCTACTAAATCTATACTTCATATGTGTTGCTAGAGAACACATACAAAAAGATTTTTAGTTGCTTCACCTGCATGAGGAGAGAAACAGGGGCATTGAGTAGTATACTTGATGAAACAGTCCTCAACAATGCACTTGAGTAACACGTTGAATGGTCATGCTATGCTTTAACATGATATAAAAAAAATTATATATTTTTTTTTCTAAAAATCCAATATTAATACACGTTGACAACTCTATTGATGCAATATCATGCCTAAAAATGATTATATTTATCTTATCTCTTCATTCACAATCAAAATAATTTAGTAAAAAATTACTGATGCACAACCTAAAACAAGAAAGATAAAAAGAAAAAAAAAATCAAGAAAAAAAAATATATAAACTTTACTATTTGGTAGCTCGAATAAAAGAATCACGGAAAATAAGTCTGTTGAATGGTTATAGTTATAAAGAGAATATAAATAACTTAAGTATGATAAATATGATATAATATCTAATGTAGCTACATAATTAGACTTTTTTATGTATTTTATCAAATATTTCAACAAAAATTTTCACTTGTAATACACATGCATTGCTAGTATACATTAAAAAATGAAAAAGAAATAGAATATATAAAAATCAAGTTACCTATCTAATTAAGTATATTTTTTCTGGTAACAAAATCAAGTTTAAGAATTGAATGATAACATGCTATAAAACTTACAACACACCATGTCTAAGATGGGTTTTAGTATAAACTTGTCTGAGGCAGTCCTAATAAGCACACAGACAGCATAGATCTCTTTCTCTATGAGTATTCACTTGCTTACAATGATTTATTTGTTATTAACATACACAAATTAATGACTTTCAAGTGGTATATATAGAAAAACAAGAACTTGGACTGATCATATATACTTATAAATACTGGTCATAAACATTTTGTTGGCACAAATTTTTGGCAATGCAAGTTCATCAATGTCTTCCAATGAATTCCATTTAAATGATGGATGTTTAATTCGAGGGCAAGCTTTGAATGGCTTATTANCAACATTTTGTTGGCACATATTTTTGGCAATGCAAGTTCATCAATGTCTTCCAACGAATTCCATTTAAATGATGGATGTTTAATTCGAGGGCAAGCTTTGAATGGCTTATTACCATTGTAATCCCTTGTATTTTCCTTATTTTGATCATGTGTTGGGCAAGAAAAGTGCATATATCTCAATTTTAGAGTTTACTATATATACATTAAAAGAAGAAAAAGAAATAGAATTGTAGAAAAATCAAGTTACCTATCTAATTAAGTGTACTTTTTTTGGTAACATAATCAAGTTTAAAAATTGATGACATATATGGTAACATGTTGTAAAACTTACAACACGCCATCTCTAAGATGAGTTTTAGTATAAACCTGGCAGAGGCAATCCTAACAAGCCTCGGACATAAAGGATCTCTCTGTCTATGAGTAGTCACTTGCTTACAAGGATTTATTTGTTGTTAACATACAAGAATTATTTACTTTCAATCAATGAGATTTTCAAGTGGTATATATATAAAAACTAGGTCGTGGACTAATCACATACAGTTTATAAATACCACTTGTAAACATTTTGGCGGTGCATTGACAATGCAAGTTCATCAATGTTTTCTAATGAATTCCATTTAAATTGCAGATTTTTAATTAGAGGGCTAGCTTTGAATGCCTTAGTGCCATTGTAAATCCCTTGTCTTTTTCTTCATTTTGATCATGTGTTGTGCAAGAGACGTGCATATATCTCAATTTTAGACTTTACTATATATACATGAAAGAAGAAAAATAAATAGAATTCTATAAAAATCAAGTTACCTATCTAAGAATACTTTTTCTAGTAACATAATCAATTCTAAGAATTGATGGCACGTATGGTAACATGCTTTAAAACTTACAACACACCATGTCTAATATTGGTTTTAACAGAATAAATGATTGAATCTGACATTATATCTCTCTGGAGGATAAGATTATGACAATATGAAATAGTTAAACCCCCATTAATTCCATCCCCTAAAAGCTTACTGTGCAAATCTGTCGCCCACCTAGATTCAAGTGTATAACAATTTCGAATTCAGTCTTTTCCAACCCTTTTCAGTCTCAGCCTCCATCCATAAATAAATCTGCCTGAGGCAGTCCTGATAAGCACTCGGACGGTGGAACTCTCTCTCTCTCCCCCTCTCTCTCTAAGTAGTCACTTGCTTTTTGGTTCTCTTCTGTGTTAATTTATTTTTACCTAAGCAATTGCATCTTCTCCGAATGAAAGCTCCCAAAGTTTAACTAGGTTGGAGATACAACCCTATGTTCCAAGTCAGGAATCAAATTGTGACGCCCCTAACACCAAGGGTTCTTTGTCAATCCGTTAATCACCGATCAACCCGCAGAATTATCTTTGAATGTCACATAACCCGACACTACAACACAATATCCCCTTTATTGGGATCACAACAACACAAAATTTGGGCAGAGTCTCCCTTGCATCTGGCACTCCCAAATGGGTAACATGTATACCATTTAATCACATGACTCATCCAAGGTCTAATATACATCAATTTACTCTCATTTATTGTCCATTTATATCATTTGAACAAAAGAATCCAAGACCCAAAGGCCTAGCAAAAGCATTTCAAAATTTGAGATTTTAACAAAACTTACCGGTAGAAGATGTACAAGTCCTACCAATAGGAAAAGCCTACTGGAAAAGTTCTACTGGTAGAAGAGTTCATCGTTCTACCGGTAGGTCTTACCATTTTTCTCCCATTTCTATCCTTTTTCAATTTCAATCCATTCCAACCCTTTACAACACTAATCCAAACTCATGTAACATCAATTTTAAGCAAAATATAATTCACATGAGTTCCTTTTACAATCCTAACATAGTTTTTTACAAAACATATTTCAAAAATACATCTCGACTTTTCTTCAACAATGAGGGCCCGATTGAGAGTCGTCCACCGGCACTTGTCTCACATCTGAAATGTTGTCCGCATAAAGTGTGAGTCACGCTCAATAGGGTATCTCCTAAAGAGATCACTCCCCAATTTAGATGCATATGAAATGTTCATATACAATTCACAAGCAACAATCNGAAAAATCAAGTTACCTATCTAATTAAGTGTACTTTTTTTGGTAACATAATCAAGTTTAAAAATTGATGACATATATGGTAACATGTTGTAAAACTTACAACACGCCATCTCTAAGATGAGTTTTAGTATAAACCTGGCAGAGGCAATCCTANTAAAAATCAAGTTACCTATCTAATTAAGTGTACTTTTTTTGGTAACATAATCAAGTTTAAAAATTGATGACACATATGGTAACATGTTGTAAAACTTACAACACGCCATCTCTAAGATGAGTTTTAGTATAAACCTGGCAGAGGCAATCCTAACAAGCCTCGGACATAAAGGATCTCCCTGTCTATGAGTAGTCACTTGCTTACAAGGATTTATTTGTTGTTAACATACAAGAATTATTTACTTTCAATCAATGAGATTTTCAAGTGGTATATATATAAAAACTAGGTCGTGGACTAATCACATACAGTTTATAAATACCACTTGTAAACATTTTGGCGGTGCATTGACAATGCAAGTTCATCAATGTTTTCTAATGAATTCCATTTAAATTGCAGATTTTTAATTAGAGGGCTAGCTTTGAATGCCTTAGTGCCATTGTAAATCCCTTGTCTTTTTCTTCATTTTGATNTTGGACTAATCACATACAATTATAAATACCACTTGTAAACATTTTGGCGGCGCATTGACAATGCAAGTTCATCAATGTTTTCTAATGAATTCCATTTAAATTGCAGATTTTTAATTAGAGGCTAGCTTTGAATGCCTTAGTGCCATTGTAAATCCCTTGTCTTTTTCTTCATTTTGATCATGTGTTGTGCAAGAGACGTGCATATATCTCAATTTTAGACTTTACTATATATACATGAAAGAAGAAAAATAAATAGAATTCTATAAAAATCAAGTTACCTATCTAAGAATACTTTTTCTAGTAACATAATCAATTCTAAGAATTGATGGCACGTATGGTAACATGCTTTAAAACTTACAACACACCATGTCTAATATTGGTTTTAACAGAATAAATGATTGAATCTGACATTATATCTCTCTGGAGGATAAGATTATGACAATATGAAATAGTTAAACCCCCATTAATTCCANGAAATAGAATTCTATAAAAATCAAGTTACCTATCTAAGAATACTTTTTCTAGTAACATAATCAAGTCTAAGAATTGATGGCACGTATGGTAACATGCTTTAAAACTTACAACACGCCATGTCTAAGATTGGTTTTAACAGAATAAATGATTGAATCTGACATTATATCTCTCTCTGGAGGATAAGATTATGACAATATGAAATAGTTAAACCCCCATTAATTCCATCCCCTAAAAGCTTACTGTGCAAATCTGTCGCCCACCTAGATTCAAGTGTATAACAATTTCGAAATCAGTCTTTTCCAACCCTTTTCAGTCTCAGCCTCCATCCATAAATAAATCTGCCTGAGGCAGTCCTGATAAGCACTCGGACGGTGGAACTCTCTCTCTCTCCCCCTCTCTCTCTAAGTAGTCACTTGCTTTTTGGTTCTCTTCTGTGT